ACTCCCATTTTGTTATCAACTGCCAGTCTTCAGTCTCCTTTTTTTAAGAAACAATGCTGTGAAGGTAGCAGGGGGCCACCTACAAAGGGTTCAGAAGAAGATGAATGATTGTAATGGCATCTGTTTCAATTTTGGTTCGTGCCTGGGCAGGGCAAAGTAGTCATACTGCTACGTCTCATGAATGTCCCAGGACAGGATATGGAAAGAAGAAGCATGACCTCTCTGTCCTGCTGGATCCATCAGCAGCTTTTGATATCCTCGATCATTACATACATTCTCCTAGATCCGAGATGGCGAACCTATGGCACATGTGCCCAAAGTGCCACGCGAAGCCATGTCACCCGGCACACACACCTTTGCCTGTTTGTCTTACAGGTTTCTGGCACGCATGTGCATGTGACGAGCAGCTGTCCTTTGTGTGCATGGCTGTGCCAAAAACCAGTGTACGCATGCGTGCCGGCCAGCTGATTGTCGGGCGTGCATGCGCACTAGAACCCAGAAGTTCGGCTTTTCTGGAGCACAATCCCTTTGTACACATGGCAGTGCCAAAAACCGGCCTGCACAGGCACACCGGCCAGCGGGCATGCATGCGCGCTAATATCTGGAAGTTTGGCTTTTCCGGAGAGTGGCCCCAACGAGTGCACGCACGTGGAAACATTTCCGTGTGACCTTTTCAGCACTCGGTGCCGAAAAGGTTCACCATCACTGTCCTAGATTCTTGAGGGTTAGAAGGGAGAGGGAGCACCATTTGATCCACTCTTTTCTAAAGAACCAATTATCCTTGGGTATTACAATACAGTTAGCCCTAGAGCTCTTTACAACCAATTGCTTAACGCAGGGGTCCCCAACCTCTGGGCCACAGCCCACTAGTAGGCTGTGAGCTGCTTGCAACTGGGCTGCAGAAATGGTGGGCAAGCGCACCCACATCCCACTTGTGCAAGCAGTGGCCACATGTGCCCCACTGCTCCTGCAAATTCACCTGCAGACACACGTGTGCTTGCCAACCATGTGTGCAGAATCTTCTCCCCACAGCTCCAAAAAGCCAGAAAGTTTGGGGAACTCTGGCTTAACAACAGTTCCAAAATTACAAGATAGGCCCAGAACAAATGCTTTATCAGTGTTTCTGGCCTTTTCTAAAATGTGACTTTCTAAAATGTGACCACATGACTGCATTTCAGGCATTTGGCATCTAACTTGTCTTTATGACTGGTGGCAATATGTGACTTTTTTGCCAGTTTCTGGCAAACATCCTCCATTCAGAAGACTGGGTTTGCATTTATGGCCATAGTGTTCACTTAATGACTGTGGATTCATTTAAAGAATGTGGTGATTTGCTTAATGACTTCAAAAAAAAATATAAAATCAGGTTGTCATATGGGAGCCTCAAGTTACAACTGTAACGACTTACAACCAGAATTCTGGGCCTGATCTAGGGGTATACCTTAAATCTGTGGCTCCTACTAAGAAAGCTGAGAGAGGCTGGGGTCATTGTGGCCTTTCAGCTTATAGGCACTAACTGTGATAATTTATCAAGCAAAATATGTGATCCACTTGGGGCTACCTTGGAAAAACTGGTATATAAAAATGGCTACCCATTTATTAGCAAGTCAAATCTGTTACAACCATATTACTTTTATTACAAATGATGCACTGGTCATTTTTTCTAGGTACAGTTGAAAATATTGCTGATTACCCAGAGAGCCCTGTATGGCTGGAACTTGATTATTGCCAAGCCTACTTCAAGTGGAATCTGCCCACTCAATATAAGCACAAAGAGAAGCCATGTTGAGAGCTCCTATCTAACAGAAAATCTGAACTGATCATTTTCTATTTGGATACCTCCCCTTCCTTTAGGACTGTTTTTCTTAAGAGGCTAATTGGGCCCCAATCTTCATGGTATTTAAGAAAACATTCATGTTCTTATTCCCATTCAAGGTATTGGTTATCATATTAAAGCTCTATCTGGCACTGGGCCAAGTTATCTGCAGGACCCTTTCCCTGAAAAATCTACTTGTACTGTTATCTGATGAGATCCAGGAAGCAAGCCCCTTCCAAAGCTGTGCTTACCCTATAGAACAGCTTCCTCTAGGAGGCATAGATGCAGAGGTGGGATTCAGCTAATTATGTCCGGTTCAGGCGAACCGGTAGTGGCGATTGCAGGAGGTTCTGCCCACCCCCCCTGGACATAATGCGTGAGCAAAGACCATGCACAGAAGGCCGTGCGCATGCACGCTCACATTTGCAAACCAATAGGGAAGGTAAGTGAATCCCACCTCTGCATAGATGGTTCTTACTCTCCTTGCCTTCCAGATGGCCCTTAAGGCCTGGTTCTTCTCTGAAGTGCTGGGTCAGGAGGGGGAAGTGAGGCCAGCATTTGTGGTTTTGCAATGGGATTGTTATAGCTATCACTTGGTGATATAACAGGGTTTTAATGTTTTGCGCTTTGTTATTTGTCTACAGTGTTGTTAGCTGCCCGGTTATTTTATATGACATGGGCATCCATATAAATCTTTCAAATACATAAAAATGTTCAGGAAATAAATTATATCTTTCAGTTTTGTCAGAGCTCCACAGAAACAAAACACAGACATCTCATACAGAACAGAATGTAAATCATGCTTTTATTAAATGTTAGGTTGTAAGCATGATAGGTTGTAATAACCTAATCTCATCTGCAAGCCTCCCTTGAGCACACCATGAATCGCTTTGGGAAGATGGGCAGCACAGAAGTTTAATAAATAATTATAAATAAATGACTGCTACTTGAAGATCAAACATTTTTAGATGATTTTGTCATGGAAGTTTTGAATGTTGATTTGTTCTAACTGGAAATAGCAATTGTTTCCAATTCTTATAATACAGTGATGGTGAATCTTTTCGGCACCTAGTGCCAAAAAGATAGCGTGGAAATGTCATGCACCCATGCGCACTCGTCAGGGCTACATTCCAGAAAAGCTGAACTTCCAGGTTCTAGCGCGCATGCGCACCTGACGATTAGCCGGCCAGCACGCATGCGCAGGCTGGTTTTCGGCACTGCTGCACGGACAAAGGGATCGCGCTCCAGAAAGCCGAACTTCCAGGTTCTGGCACGCATGCACACCCGACATGAAAATGTTCTGCCTACAGTGGACTTTATAAATAAATCTTTAAAAATCACATACTATTTCCTCTTAGTTACTTACAACTTACTATATAAGTCATCACTACCATAAGGTTAATTAGCCAAAGAAAACTGTTCAAGAACAGTTTGCTCACATATTCTGATATTGAAGAAACAACATTTCAGCCTTATTCTGACCTCCCTGCATCATCTCAAAATTAGACTATTTTAAGTATGTAAAAATATATATTTAGGCACCTGCTGAGAATTCAGAAGTGGGCTTTAGAGAAGTGGGCTTTAGAAACTTCAAATGATTTTTTGCAGAAATATTGCCACTCACTTCTATTATGTGCCATGAAGCAAGACTTCTGCCTGAGAAAGCAAAATATGTGCTACCCCGAATGAAATACTATTGTAAGCTACAAAGGTAAAGCACAGTAACTTCCCCCTCTAACACGGGTGTCAAACTTGCTGCATCACGTTGCCATCACGTGATGTTCGTGACGTTTTTCCCATTCACGGAGCTGGGGTGGGTGTGGCCTGCGTGTGACGCCTCTGGCCCATGGGCCACAAGTTTGACACCAATGCCCTAGAATGTTCCTGCCTTCTTCGATCTTGTATATTAAATTTTTTAGAGTTTTATCCCATTTTTATTACTTTATAAGTAACTCAAGACAGTGAATATACATAATATTCCTTCCCCTTCCTATTTTCCCCACAACCACCATCCTGTGAAGTGGGTTGGGTTGAGTATGACTGGCCCAAAGTCACCCAGATGGTTTATATGCCTAAAATGGAATTAGAACTGTCTCGTAACCACACTACATCAACTTGCTCAAATTGTTCTTTTGACTCTTATAATAGGGCAGAGAAGGGTGATACAACATTCCACACGGCACAAATAAATTTTGATATTTTTCCTGAAATGGTTTATAAGTGTGTTAACTTTCAATAATCATTACTGTGCAATTTGTATTTTGGCCAGAATCAAGGGTGAAATGCTCCCAGTTCGGACCGGATCGCCTGATCCGGTAGCAATGGAGACAGGTGGTTCAGAAAACCGGTAGCAAAAATCCCTGCCCCCTCCCCCATGCCCAGTTGAGCCGCACAATCATCAGAGGCTTTTTTTTTTTACTTTTAAAAGCATTTTTTCTACAACCTCTTCGGCCGAAAAAATGCTTTTAAAAGTTAAAAAAAAAGCCTCTGATGATTGTGTGGCTCAGCTGGGATCGTCAAAGGCTTTTAAAAGAAAAAAACCCTTTTTTTCTTTTAAATGCCTCTGACAATCCAAGTTGAGTTGCCTGATCAGCAGAGACTTTTTTAAAAAGCCTCTGCCGATCAGGCAACTCAAATGGGATTGTCAGAGCCTTTTGAAAGCATTTTTTTCAACCTCTTTGCCGAAGAGGTTGTAGAAAAAATGGTTTTAAAAGTAAAAAAAAAAATTGGCCACGCCCACCGTCACATTACCACCCTCACCCCCACCACCAAGCCATGCCCACAGAACTGGTAGTAACAAATTTTAGATTTCACCACTGGCCAGAACCTCTATCCTTTGTTGTTCTTGTTCTGACTCAAGGAAGGCAGAATGAAAGGTATTCTAGATTTGTCTCCACTGTAGCCAAGAGTGATAACCCGCTTGATTCAGTGTCAGCCCTTCCCCCTTACTTATGAATCCCAATATCACCCTGCAGCCCATCCTTCCCTTGTTAATTTCCTTCTCCCTGTCCCCTCTCCACTGTTAATTCCACATTGATTACTTGCCTTATTCATCTTCCATCTCTATGTTTTCCTGACTTCGCATTTCCTGCTGCATCAACTATATAGCTTTTGCTGGTGGTTACTGAATGAAGCTGATAAACATGTAACAACTGACAGTAGTCACCCTTTGTAGAATACTTACTTACTGCAATTTTCATTGCCACATTCCACAAGTTAAACTTCTGCCAGCTAGTTGTTTCCAATCCAGAAGAACATGTTGTGTCCTCAGAAGGATAACGTTGACAGAGGAGCCAAAGTCTCCAAAAGCTAGGCAGCTAGGAAGCATGCACAGCCACAAAGGAAAATTGAGAAAATTAATGGCAAAGCATTGCATAGAAAGGTGTTTATTTACAATGGCTATCCTTTATTTGGAATTGTAAGATGACCAACTAAAATACAGAAAAAGAAGATGGTTCTGCTGATGTGGATCCTTGAGGAAGTTGAGGGAGGATATGGAAAACCAGAAAAGGACTGTGGAAAACCACAGGAACAGTTACAAAGACTGCAGAGCAATTCAGTAAGGGAGAAAGGAACGTAAAGCGATATAAATGCAGTGTGAATGTATATGTTTTGGAGAACTGAGAGGGAGAGAATGTGAGTTGGAGGCCAGACATAAGAAAAATATGTGCCGAGAGTAAGAGGTAAGCCAAAATATGAAAGCCATTAATTTGAAGTAATTAAAACGGTTCCCCTCATAAAGCCATTCTGTCACAGCACCTATTATACTTTATTAAAACTCCATCCCATCAAGCGAAACAAATTTACATCTCTTATGATATAATATGTAAATATCTTTTTAATATTAATATTCTATTAAATGCAAGAAAATTTTCTTTTTCTCAATGATGTAGAGAAAATGGAAAATAATCTCTCTCTTTCTCACACATACCGCACAGACACCCACACATCTACCTATAGGGGAGTGGGGAGGACTAAAAAACTGGTAAGAGTATCAAAACAAGAAACTGAATCCAAAGAACAAATACCGCCGAAATCCACAGAAGTCACTTGTGCTCATGAGCCAAATGTCATATCAGAAGCAAAAACAGACATTTCTACTGAAGGCCAAGGCTGTGCTGTATGTTGAAACAGATGTGTGAAGGCAAATGAAACAGAAAGGACTCCACATCTCAGGCAGATTCCTAGCAAAGGGCTAATTGCCCATACCGCCTCCGATCAAGTTCAGTTTGGCCTACTAATCAGTCAGCCATGATTCACAGTAAGAACCTGACTAGCCAACTGATATTTCAGTGTGTCAGAAGAAAATTAATGCAGCCCACTACAAGGACTGGTAGGAGAGAGGGAGAGATATTTTTATGCCAGGGAGAAGAAATTCAATACTTCTGTTTCCAAAAGTGCAGCAGATTCCTAACATTTCCAGCTTTATTCTGCACATGCTCCTTGCAGTTCAATTTTCCTACTGTTACCAGAGCCAATACTCCATGTAGCCCAAGAATGTCAAACTCGTGTCGTCACAGCAGTGTCACATAACGTATCATGACTTTTTCCCCCTTTGCTAAACCAAGTGTGGGCATGGCCAGCGTGTGACGCTTCTGGCCCGCAGGCCGCGAGTTTGACAGCCCTGATGTAGCCAGTCATTTAATTTGCAAAATCCCAGCTTCTCTAAATTCCAAATTTTGTAAAAAACTAGCCTACAGTTAAACTGATTTACTCTTTCAAAACTGAAATCAGGCAAGTCTCTCTAAAATGTCAGTAAGCATAAAGCTTTGAAGTTTAACCTTTACAACCATTCGTTTAGTGACTATCTGAAGTTACAACAGCACTGAAAAAAGTGATTTATGATTGCTTTTCATACTTACCACCACTGCAGCATTCTCATGGTCATGTGATCAAAATTTGCATGCTTGGCAGCTGGTTCATATTTAGGACAGTTGCAGTGTCTGGAGGTCATGTGATCACCTTGCAACCTTCTGACAAGCAAAGTCAATGGGAAAGCCAGATTCACGGAACAAGTGTGTTACTAATTTAACAAGCTGACTTTGTATAAATATACAAAAGTATGAAGGCTATTGCTTAACGCATTGTAAGCCGCCCTGAGTCGCCGGAGAAGGGCGGCATATAAATTAAAGCAAAAAAAAAAAAACTACAGTGATTCACTTAACAACTGTGACAAGAAAGGTCATAAAATGGGGCAAAACTCACTTAACAACTATCTTACTTAACAACAGAAATTTTGGGTTCAATTGTGGATGTAAGTTGAGGACTACCTGTACACCATACCAATGTAACAGTGTAAATTACAAAAAAAAATATAAAATCTATTTATATTCATATCTTAAGGTTTTTTAAAATTTATTTATTCCATTTTTATTGCTGTTATAAGAGGACTTAGAAAAATTTCTGGAATCTGTTTTCTGGGTGTTTATTTTTTTTTATTCTGGAGCCTAGATTGTGCAAAGTAGAAGAAAAAGAAAATTAAGTTTTGTGTATGATGATCAACTTAAAAATTGATGCTGGTTTCTACTATGTAAAATATTATCTCAGTCCTGTTATAATAAATGCAAGTAAACATGATTATGACTGTCAGCATCTGCCTTGTAGTGTAAGTAGTAAACAAAAAAAGTGTCTCGATTTTTTTCTCTTTTATTTTAAATTTCAAAACAGAAGCTCGGAGGATAGTCTGCAGTAAAAGCTTGAACAAAACTAAACAAAGCATAAGTAGATAAAATGTATTAGATTTCATTGTTTTTTACAAAGCAGAAATGAACATTAGTAAACAATCAGCCCACAAAATTTCAAGGACAACCAGATGAAGACAAAACTGCTTTTTATAACATTAAGTCAGTAAAGGGAAGGTATTTAAAAGAGAATATGCACAAGCACAGACTTTTATTTATTATTCAGAAATGTTTTTCCTCTCTAAACTGCCCTATTTTTTAATGAAATCAATAAGTCATTTTTAGCAATCATTACTTCTGATATTCCCCATGGATCAATTTTTATTCTATTTCAGATCCCAGAGCTTCTGCCAGATCATATTTATATGTTCATAATAAGGTAGTGTAATGCCTACATACCCAGCTTCAAAATGTAAAATGGAAGAAAATACATTTATTTTCCAGGGAGAACATACTTTAACTCTCCGTTTGCACATATGCTCGGTTAGAGGGGTGGGCTTCAAAAATTTTAGCAAGGGGTTCTCTGCCTGGTTGCTGGGTGGGCATGGCCATTGTGGCCTAGTCGGCCTCCTGCACCACAGCTGGTGAGGGGTGTTTTTACCCTCCCTGGACTGAAAATGGGCTCCCCAGGCTCCGGAGGCTGGAAACAGGCCCATTTCTTCCCAAACTTCTGGTAGGCCATTTTTCACCCTCCCTGAGCCTCCGTGTATGCCCTGCACTTACCTGCATCCAAAATGGACCACATGGGGACTCCTGGAAGGGGAGGGGCAGTGTGGGTGAGGCCAGCCAGGAGTGGGATTTGGGGGTTCTCCAAACTGCACAGAATCTTAGCTAGAGGTTCACCGAACCCCTGCAAACCCCCAGCAGCCCACCCCTGCTCGGTTACAATATAACTAATTTTTTGCTGAAATATTCTATTACAACCCATTGTCTAACTAACCCTCCTACTTCTTCTTCTTCTTCTTTTTTTTGCCAAGTTCATTCCACAACCAGATTCTGGGAGAAGAGTATGTACAGATTCCATTTAAGTATGTTACTATAGAAGGGAAAAAAATCACTTCTTCTACGGATAGACAAAAAAAAATGTCATAGATGCAAAGAACTGAAATGAACATGTTCTTTCTCAGTAATAAACCACAGAACACTTCATAACACAAAAAACAATAAGCCTTATATTTCTGATCAGTATGAAAGGGGCTAGATTTCAAGAACTGGACCAAAAATATTTTAAATTTACATACAGTTAATATGATTATTCCCATGTAGAGGTAGTCCTCAATGTATGACCACAAATGGACCAGAATTTCCATTTCTCAGCAAGGCAGTTGTTGAGTTGCATCCAATTTTACAACCTTTTTTGCCATGGTTATTAAGCGAATCTTTGCCGTTGTTGTGAATATGCAGTTGCTAAGTGACTCCAGCTTCCCCTGTTGACTTTGTCAGAAGCCAGCCGGGAAGATCGCAAATGGAGATCACATAATCCTGGGATGCTGCAACTATTGTAAACACATGCTGGTTGCCAAGCATCCCAATTTTTATCCTGTGTCTGTGGGGATGCTATGATGATTGCATGTGTGAGGATGGGTTATCCCTTTTTTTCAGTGCGGTTGTAACTTTGAACAGTCATTAAATGAATAGTTATAAAACAAGGATTATCTGTATTAAATATTATTCTGACCCTTGACTTCTTACAATACACTAAGTCAAAATAAACTACATTTTTAGTGTTTAGTATGAACCAGTTGAGAGGGCTTTCTTAAACTTTAATTTATTAGATGCAATGACAAAAATGTATCTCTTATTCCCAATGTTTTAATTGTTAGGGACACTGCCTCTGTCCAGCTTGAAGAACCAACTCAGGTGAGGTCATTTGAACTGTTCTAGCTGTTCTAGATTCAGAGTAAGCCATTAAAAAATAGAAGACACTGTTAACACAATGGTCAGTCAGTAGGAAACTCCAAACTATAAAGACATCCCATATTCCTATAATATGAACCTCTGGATGAAAAGTTGTTGGCAACCTGCTAGGAGTACTTAATGCAATGAGTCATACTATATGACTCACTGATCATTCAACTCTTTCATTCTATTATCTGTAATTCAAAATCTGGTTGCTAGAAATGTAACATTTCAATGCAAACTCTTTAAAAGGATATACAATATGTACTTCAAATTACAAGACAGTATTAATATTGTCCTGTTTTCAAAAATAGTACAAGGCGTATTTTTAAAAGCTTTGGTTTTTTAATATGCTGTGTCAATGCTTTGTTTTTAACACACGTGAAAAAGTCAAAACAATCTTAAATTACACAGGTAACCTAATTCCTTACTCTATCTTCTCTCAAATATCCAGTGACTCCCCTAATCCTTCAGGTATTCAGGTACAGCACAATATACCAGAATAAATTATAAAGAATCAATTGTTATTTTATTATTGCTTGTTATCTTTCATATAATTAAAACAAGGCCAAATCTTGTTACAAAATTATTTAAGTAATTATACAGATGGAGGATCAGAATATACAAACTGTTTATTTTAATAAATCTTGATGAATATGACAAATTAACAACCTTAGAGGGCTATAAATTAAGATATTCCTATCCTAAGCAATAACTAATTTCAACAGTAAATACTACAATACATATTTCATAATTGAAAAGAAAAGCAATATGAAGGTAGCAATAAGAACAGGTCACAATTCTTACGGAATTTTCCTTGCTCATAGACAGCAATCTCTGCAAGTTAGATATATTACCATGATTAGCAGACACACCTGATGTAGCGTTTTCTTTCAGAGAAAATATCCAGTTGTAATGATGTAAGTTTCACACAGAAGGAATAATGTAGCAATTCAAAAGAGGAGTTAACATAATATGGCTATGAAAAACTTTCATGACTATTCTGCTTTCTAAATAAGAGAGAAGGAAATTCATTAACCAGGATATCAACAAACATATATACAGTGAAGAGTAGAAACATAGAATAGGAAAATGTAATAACTTCCTACTTTCACCGGGAATGGTACTAATTGGAAAATTATTTTCATTTTTTAAACCTCAAAAGCATTTATAGTATGATTCTATGACATGTATAACACAATTTTCAATGTAGCTTACTTCCCAAAGTAAACAACATTAGCACTGTACCCTAATATTACAATGTCGTATCATCTCTCTAATGACTTACGCTTCATTACCCTGTATGCATTAAGCAGGTTTAGTCAAACCAACAAAAGCCAATTGTTGAGCTTAATCAAATCCTCTGCATATATGTATTATATATTAATTTCTAATATTTATAATAAATCATACTGTCCACTACAAAGTACCAAAAATAATGTATAAAGTAAAATTTTATTAAGACTCCCTCTGTATTTTCTTAGTAGAGAAATGGAGGAGTATGGGAACAAGTCATACAATTTTAATGACTGTTTTATTCTTTCTATGCAGAATTTTAACAGAGAAATGGTATAAAACATTCATATGTGTAAATATAGGAGATGTCATTTCATTTGTTAAATATAATGAGAGAAAAATGACAATTGGGATAAAATACTTTTTATGTTAGAATCTGTTTCAAGATAAACTATTCATCCCATCAAACTTATCTCCAATTCACTAAAGGTAGGCAGGACGAGAGGAGGGAAAGGCCTGATTGCTAGAAATAATTTTACTAGTGATAAACACTAAAACAATAGCTTTCTCTGTTTCAACTCTGAACCTTAAAACAACAGGATCAAAATCTCAAAGAGTATGATGAGAGAAACTTAAATGAGAGAAAGAAGATTCGAATAAAAAAGATTCATTAGTAAATTTTTGGAAAGGTTGCCATCATTTTTTAATGGAAATAAAATAGTTTAGGGAAAGAAATGGGAAGAAGTAGCTGATGTCTAACTCTTATCATTTTTTCTCTCTGTAAATTTCAGATACTTATTTAGCCCCTGACAAACACGGGAAGGTCAAATGTCAAAACCATAATATTTGAGACAGTCATCCAACCTTTTAGGTATATATTATGGCCACCATTTTGAGGTTACTTAAAATTATAAATAGTTATGGCCACTTTCTCTATAGCTTTGGATATTTGTGATAAGGCACAAAACTACCCAATCAGCAAACATACAAACAGCTTTATTATATAGAATATTATATGTTTTATTATATAATGTTATATATTGTATCACTGTGTGGCAATAAACCAACCCTCAAATATTAACACAACACGATTCTCAGGGCTGCACCATCAATTTCAGATCTACTACAAGGAACACAGCATTATGCCATCTTGTAATAGATGGATGGAAAATACTCTTGCAACAGAATGTATCGTGAGGCAATCTGGCTATTTTCAAATGGAAATGATTAGTTGCATTGCCATGCAAATACATTCTATAGAATTAAACATTGTAACTGATGCTCTACATTTCTGACAAACCTAAGAAAATGTGATACCCACACAACAGAAATCCTATTTTGAGGAAAATGATCTGGATTCCCTAAAATAGTATTAATTAGGGTAATAATTACTTGGTTACTGCTTGGTCAACTATTTTTCAACAGTGCTGTGTTTCATTTTAATCAACCAGTTATTTTACAAAGATTTTCTACTTTAGTACTTATAGTGTTTAATAGTGCTAATATTTGAAGATAAACAAATACAAAAATCCCATGATTTCTATGAGATTACTACATTATATTATGTAAAAATAATACTACAGACTCTAAATTGAGGCCTTGTATATCAACTTCTTTGATTATAAATTTGTGGCAGCCCATAATATTTTTTCCAATGTTAAGTCAATAACATGCAATAACAATGTCATTACATAGAATACCAAAGATGTATCAATGCGCAAAAGGGAAAAAAATCAAAATGGTGATTTCATCAAAATGAAATAGTTTATTTTTTTATTTTAAACATACTTTTAAAAGATATATTACCTGAGGCAGATCTCCTCACTCTTAATTGTAAGACTGGTCCTGCTAGCCAATATCAGGGCCCAGTATTCCTACTTTTAAATAAAAAGAAACTGAGACAAAAAAAAATACACAAAACAGCATAAACCACAAAAGCAATATAAAATAATGCTCTGTAAACCTAAGAAGACATTTCTTTTGTACAATACAAAAAAAATTAGGTCTTCTAATAGGTGATGCCAGCCAAGTTAAGTTTGAACTTTTCTGTGACAAGCAAGTTTCTCTCCCTAGGTTTTAAGATATGCTCCTAGGATTGAGGAAAGCGGCTGGATTAAGAGTTCATCTTGCCCAAAGATAATAAATCCATAATTGTTCATGCAAATACAAACACGAACACACAGTGAAGGAAGAACAATAAATATTTAGTGTCCGTATGTGCCCCCTTCCCAGTTGTGAGAAGATAAACACAATGTTTATATCTTGCTCAGTGCTCCTCAGAGTCACCGTTACAAGCCCTCAGAGTTCCCCATAAAACAGCAATAAGCGGAGCCTAAAAGGAAATCGGGAAGGCGGGGGAGTAAAAGCTAAATCACCAGCGTTTCCCAAACAAATGAGAAATCTGGCCGTGCGGCAGAGACTGTGTTGGGAAACATTGAGAGGCTGAAACCACCCCTGCCCTCCCCCACAAATGATCAATTAAAAGCCGTCCTTATGCCAAGGGCCAGGCATGGCCAGGCAAGCGGGCTGCCGCAAAGACAACGGTCCTCTGGATCAGTTCTGCATGACAATTGATGGGAAGGGGCAGGAGGCAAGGCCCATCCTCTCACCATGGTGATTAGGCATTCCAAGTGTGCAAGGCAGCCTCGGCACACATAAAGAGAAAGGGAAGCTGGAGACCTGAGGAGACGAGCCAGGCCAGATGGTCCTGCAGCCGGCAGCACTGGAGCAGCTCACACCCAACTCTCCGCCACGTTAACGGCCCAAGCCTTTCTTTATGCCAACATCACAATTAAACAGAGCAAAATGGCAAGAAGGTTCAGCAACAGTTTGCTGAGGGGACGGATGGTCATAATGCAGCAGGAAAGCTCTGACAACCCAAGAAAATGTAGTTTACATTTCCTTAGAAAAATATGGCCCATCAGAAAGGCTCTTTTCTTGAGATGTAGAACTAATTTTCTACATTTAAAATTCACCACAGGTACGCATTTACTCATTCTATTAGAGACGCAGCCATTTCCATAGGATGTCTTTCTAGTATGTTTTAAAAACAGACCTGATATTAGATCATGTCTAATACCTTTTTAACCACAAGGCTTTACTTTTCTTCTTTTAACAACCATAAAGTACGGCATCAATTATTTAAAAAAGAGGTCCTCAGCACATAACTGTAAAACAAGCAATGTATACATTTTGAGTGTTGGATAATTGGAATACACCTCCACCTTACTTTAGACCCTAGTGTGTAAACACCTGGTCAGCCTCTGCTCTACTGAGGTAGCCAGAGCTAAGATGAAGCTTGAGTCAGTTGTCTAATATGCTAAGAGAAAAGAAAAACCAGAAATTAATACATTATTGTATTAATACATTATTGTTGCTACCTGGAACTTTAACTCAACAGCATTTTGATTTTCTTAAATATTTCCACTGATTAGTTTCAAAGTTCTTGAAGTGATTTCCAAAGCCAGTCCAAATACTGAGGCCCAACAAAAAAAGTCCACTGTCTTCTGTAATATAAAACTGTAAGAAAAACTGAGGTAAGAATAAGAAAACAGACTCTCTCCACCACCCATAACTGTCTTAAACTGACATTTTTTAAAACATTTCATTATGGGACATTAAAAAAGAAACTGCTGCTGATAAATTGTAAGAAGCAAAATTGCAAAAATGTCTAACTAATAAATTAGAGTCTGTTTCATCAACAATAAACCAAAGTTGAATAAGTGCAATAAAGGGGAGGAAACAGTTCAAATAAGCACAATATGTAGACTCAAAATAAAGGCCAAGGCCTTACAGTGCCAGTTCATTGGGGATGGGGAGCACGAAGTTGGGGAAGATTCATGTATAAAATAACAAATTTTGAAAAAACAGAAAGGAAAACTGCAGTGCTTTTGCCAATGGAACATTTTGGTGTACTTGACCCAGCTGCTGTTAAGGACTCTCCACTTTTCTCTCCTGAAAGGATATACTCTGATTATTAGTCTACAAGGCCATCAGTAGGAATTAGAAGATAAAGAAATTATTTTTAAAAGTTAGAGAGATCTGTTACACGGGGACAATGTTTAAATCTATTGTAGCTGGATATTAAGGTCAAATCATTATTTGAAGAATCCAATAAAATGTATCTGCAGATGCCTCTGCACTACACATGGAGTGTAAACCATCTTCCCCCATGTGATTAACGCTCTCAGTAAACATATAAACATAGATACTTGGATAAAATATTTATCTTCGTAAACAAATCCTTTATTCTTCAGGGCTTTTGTGCACAACTCCTGTGGGTTCTTTTCTGGACCACAGGGAAGGAGAATATTTACCATATACTGATGCACTGAAATATTCCGAGAGGCAGATTGTAAAATTAAGCTTTACATATATTCACATTGCACTTCCAATTTTGTCACTAATTTTGGGTAAACTTTTGTATATATAAAATATTAAATCTGTAAATATAAAATCCACAACTATGGTTCAACTCAATATATTAAGCCATTTTTTTAAAGATCAAAACATACCCAGAAGGCAGGACTCAAAGCAATGTTGACCAATGTAAATCTTAAATAACTTCTCACATGGGTAGGGAATCAATCTAGATTTACACGACTAATTAACAGAGATAAGACTCTTGTCTCCAGAGAATGTAGACATACTGTATTGTTCTTAGTATCTTACTAATAAAATGAGATGCCTGCATCTATACTTGTACAGTGATACACTTTGCCCTTCATTAAATTCCATTAGCTTTGGATGGCATTTCTG